GGTTGGGTTAACTTTCAGAGCATAATTGTTGATGGCAGTTGTTAGCCTTGAAGAGGGAGGCAGAAGGTCATAATGCAATCAGAATGACCAACTGACAGGCTTGGATGTTTGGCAATATTCATCTTCAGCATGAAACCAACAGTGGGGAGGTGTTGACGTTGAGGTCTGCTTAACCAACAGAGGGTGTGGCTGCCATTGTGTTCCGTCAACCTGCCTTGATGTGAGAAGTGGACATGATGCAGGGCCGCTATACTGATGTCCAATCTGTCTAGCTTATGGACCATCAGGGCTGAGCATCAGTAGGAGTGACTATTGCCAACAAGGCCGTGCATTGATAGTGTGCATGGAGCCAGCAGTAGGAGTTGGGTGGAGATAACCAGTGATTGAGAATCTGACCTGCAAATAGGAAGCAGATGACTGAAAACTCAAGGGTGTTGATCTGTCTGAACAGCCCAAATGCCCCTTGTGCATCAATGTTGGTCTTATGTACTCAGTCGTTGACAATATAGCTTGTGCAGTTTTGAATGTATAATTGCAAACTAGCAGGACGAATTTACCCATGAATGGAAAAATCTTGTTTGTAGATCATTGCTTAAACCATGGTACTGCTAATATCTTTAATCTTTGTTTCCTTGTTATTTTTGATCAGGATCTTTTTCGGAAACTTGTGCCCAACGAATGTTTAGGGTCCATCTGGTGTCAACGAGACAAGGAAGAAAACCAGCATGTGGCATCAACCGTCTGGGCCATCATTACACAGTTCAATAATGTTTCGAAATGTGTCACCAGCACCACATTAAGGCCTCAACAGCTGAAACCACGGCAGAGGACTAAAATAATTGAGAAATGGATTAATGTTGCCCAGGTACACTATTCTTTATTGATTTTTAACCTTTGTGACAGGTTAAAGTCCACAGTGCATGAAACAACCATGGCGGAAGAGAGCAAGCAGCTCATACTAGGTGTTGATGTGTCCAGGGTTTGAAAGCCTCTTAAATTCGTGAGCAGAATTGTTTTCTGAAGAAGAGTTGAATGCTTCATGGCAAATCTTAGCATTCATAATTTCCATAGTGTTGGCTGCTAATAGTTCATGCCTCAGTTTACACTTGCATTGAAATTTTTTTTTATAATCAAAAATATTTATGCGGAGAAAAAAAAGCAAACTGATTTCAGATTTTTAGTGGCCCTTCAAAAATGAAGTTACTTATTGGGCATTACATAGTGTTGTTTGCCTCCCATCCTAAGCTGTAATCAGTTTTATGATAGAGTGTAAATTTTATTGTCAATTTTCTGCATTCTGTATGCCCACATGATGGCCCTTCAGTAACTTGCCTAGTTGTCTGTTTCTTATGTGTTTACCAAAGGAATTTGTCTTAGCATGTTAATCAGCAATTGGGAAAAGGGTGAGGAAGGGCTATCATATCTGATGCCAGGCTTGTCCTTGCCACCAATATGTGGCATTCCCACTAATACATTTGGAAAGGATCAGGACAGGAACCTAGTAATTAACTAATTCAGTAAATTACGTAATTTATTCTTATTCATTTTATAATCCAAAATGGCACTGGATTGTAGCAACAAAACTGTATTTTCAAAGTATTTTCCCAAATACACGTGACAATAAAATGTTCATTCATTAGTAAGGTTGGGAAGGAAAATTCGCAATAATACCTTTGCCAGCTATTTTAGAGAAGTCTGGTTTGGGTCTTGGCAGCACTGCCTGCATCAATTTGGACTCATTAAGAATCTTAAGGCATTGATGGGGATTTGAAAGTCTGTCTCCAGTTTCACAATATGGAGCAGTTCAACTGAATGTTGGCTGACAGCCAGTAGTAGACATGAATGAAAGAGCTCCTGACAGGTTATCCCTGCCGACCTAGATACTGGCACTGTCAAAGGCCATTCTGAAGAGGAGTCGCCACCTTACAGTGGTCACTTGGCTGACTTTTCCAGTTGTCATTTGAGTTTTTACAATAGTTGACGAGGGGCGGCTTCCATGTTGATGTGCCCTCCGTCACTTACCTTTTACTGCAGCAGCCTTATTTCCCTCAAGCCAGAAGACTCTGGGCTTGAGAACCTACCTGCTGGACTTAATCAGATCAGCATCTATCTGATTATGCCAATTGAGGCACCTCCAAATAAATCCTATATGGTCTAATGACCCTCCCCCTCCCTGGCCTTCCTCCCCAAGCAGAAGTGGTTTTGAGACCTGATAGCATACACGCGCAGGATTCCTACCCTTCCGTCCCCCGCCCCCTCCCAGCAAAGTACAAATTTATGCTTTGTGAAAGGGAGGTTTGATTTGTTCTATTTTTCTCCCTACCTCCGTGGGGCAAGCAGATGAAGGAAATTCAGCTGCTATCCTAGCTAACGTTAGTTAACTCAGTATCAATAGCTTTGTGATTCATAAAAATAGACTCAATTTTCTGATTTGTATGCTTTCCTTGAATGATTATCTCATGCTACTGGCCCTGCCCTCCCATTCTGCCAGATACTACAATGTATCATTCACTTATCAGCTGAATGCAATGGAGAAAACACAGATGATTACCCTGTCTCCACCTCCCCACCTTCGCCACTTCCACCACTCAGATGTCCGTGTCTCAATCCTGCTCATTCTAAGCTTTCCTTTGGTGTCAATAACCATATCATAGTTTGGCACAACTGAAAAGGTTGTCTCAGAGGGAAAAAAAATGAATATCAAGTTTTGAGTTGCCAAGAATTGTGGAATTCTTACCCCCACAAAGTCTGTTTGTTAATGCTGTTATTTTCACAGCTGACGTTTTTCTGATGGAACATTTTAAAAAGTCTGAGATATTGGATAATGAGGAGTCACTGCTTTTTCCACAGAACTCACGTTTTATTTTCTAACAGGAATGTAGGATTTTGCAAAATTTCTCTTCAGTGCGTGCAATTATCGCTGCATTGCAAACGAAAAGTGTATTCAAGTTGCAGAAGACTTGGGCAGCCATGTCAAAGTAAGTCATTTTTCTGAAAGAGCCATATAATTTTTTTTTAATAAACATGTGGTAGGAAATTGTAGGCTTGACCTCCAAGTTTACTTGCCCAAGTGATCTTCACATTCGAGATGTGTTGACAGGATTACCAGAGACACTACGGTGCAATCATAACATTTGGCTTATTGGCAGAATCTTTCATTCTTTCACGAAGGAGTGAGGATTTAATTTTCTGGAGTGGAAAAAGAAAACTGTTTGGCAACTTAAAATATTTAACTATTGTGTTCCAAAACTGATCTACTGTTGGATGTAACGTAACACAGTTTCCTGTGGATATGCTGTGACGGGGTGATATAAGCCGGAGGTTTGTAAAGGATACTAAAATACAAAGAACACAATTATTCTAATCTTCCGAGAAAGCATTCTATACCTCTTTGAAGTGCGGACTTGTAGTTTATATTCCTGTGCCTCAGACAATTTGATCGTGTTTGGTTTTTTTTAGGCGGCTTGGAAGTGAAATCTCTCTTGCTGCAATGAGATTTACCAGAACTACTGCAATGAAGGGCTTTTGTGGCACAATGGTAATGTCCCCATCTCTGGGCTTTAAATAATCTGGGTTCAAATTCTCCCTGCCCCAGAGATGTGCCAAAACATATCTGAACATTTTGGTTAAAATAACTATAATTATTGCAAAAATGCTTCACTGCCCTTCACAGTTTCTATTTCTTACTTATTTGTCAGATTCCATGTCAGCTGTTTGTTAACTTGAGTCTATTCTGTCAAGAGTAATTTGTCTCATTCTCTTGACGAGGAGCAGTAAGACAACATTCAAAGCGCTTTCAAATATATTCTCTGACAAAGATAACCTTCGGGCAAGTAGACAGCTAAAAATGCAGGTAAGGGGTTGCACTTGGCCCAGTGTATCTATATTCAGGGCATGATCAGTATTTTCAAGCAAAATATCTGCAATGAACTAAATTGGTGACTGAATGCATACAAATACTGTCAATCAATAATGCAACAAGGAATATATGTATTGCATTTTGGGGGGTCGAGCTTGGTTCAAGTCTTCCAAGATCGTTTTGTCATGATTCTTATAATTGATGTGGATATTGCAGTTAACATTTTAATCAGCATCTAATGCGGTTATGCTGCCAGTGATGCAACCTTCATAATTATCTTTCTCAGTGTTCATTATCTTGGAAATTTGAACTCTTGAGCAATGTATAAAGCGGGATATGTGCCAATTTTCTTTACTTTTGCTTTGTACACTTGGAGGGCCTTGTAATTAATAAAAGCCAAGGGGAAACATTAAGAGCTTTAATTGGTTCTCGTAAGTGTTTTTGTTCAATTATCATATCTTCCTTTTATTGTTCTCTGCAGTAAGAAATATTTACTGCGTAGGCACTGAGAGATATTCATATTGCTTGTTGAATATTTCAAACATCAACAATCCAGTTTCAACCAGCTTGGACCAAAACTGACAATTAAAACTAACTTCAAAAACCTTCTTAAAAAGCATATTATTTAACCAAGTTTTTAGCCATTCCTCCTCACTCCATTTATCGTGCTGTTTGTCCACTCATTTTGTTCCTGAATTTTACAAAGTAACGAAATAATTGGTTCATTATAAATATTTTGGTGTCACTTTATCAAACTAGTGTGTCCAGGACAGAAAATAGTCAAAATGCAAGTTTTCTGTTTAATCATTCTAAGATTGAATCGAAGCATTTTTAAGCTGGTATTTGAAGAGGACGAAATGAATTTGACACCTCATTGTTACAATGCAAACTACGAACAAATCCTCATTTGAATCTTGGTTAACACCACAAACATATGAGACAACAAGGTGCAGAGCTGGATGAACACAGCAGGCAAAGCAGCATCACAGGAGCAGGAAGGCTGATGTTTCGGGCCTACACCCTTCAGCCTGAATATCATTCTTTTTCTTCAGACTGCCATGCTAAAA